ATGAGACATCTGGACGAGAGTGATTTCGCATGTTTGATTTAGTTTTTTTTAAATAAGTAAGTTGGTACAACCAACACCGTTTTAAAATTTAATATGCTAATGTAATAATCAGAGTTTTATTTCAAGTTGTTATGTATTTGGCTAATTGTCTTTTATTTTCAGACTACCATTGAACCAAAATAATATTAAATCTTATTATTTATTTTCTACGGAAAATATTTTCTAAAGTAGCTATAAAGGTATATTTTTATTAAAAGATAAATGACAGTGGCATCCGTCCCGAACCGGCCAGGCCGAGCGGGGTGGGTGTTACAGAACTAGACCTCATATTCTACTACGATGGCCCAACTTTTATTTACATTGATTTTCATATTTCATTCACAAGCAAAACAAAAAAAATTCTTTTAATCTATTTAGTGTTGAATAAATTAAGTTTGAACTTGATACTTGAAGCGATAAAGCTTCGAAAAGTAATTATTGCTTATGTTTTGATTTTTTTTTTGTTTTTGCGTTGTAGAAAGTAAGTTCCATGTGTTAATTTTTTATGGAAAACAAATGCTTAGGAACCGATAAAAGTTAGAACCGAACTATGCATTTACAGTTGAATCTTGAATTTTTAGATAGGAACCGAACTAATTTGATTAGTTAAGTTTTTAATAACGGTACCACTAATTTCGTATAAGAACTGAACCGGTCACGAGCCTAGTTCAAGCCTAATTTTGTAAAATGAACCGAACACCGAACAACTTGTAATACACACACACACACATACACACACATCAAGTCTAGTTTAATTATCCACAAAACATTTCAGCTAAGATTTCAATTGGGAAGACCGTCAAATGATTTCTGGAAGATAATTGCGTCCAAAATATACATATAAAACACAGTTAACTTCCAAAAATTATTTGACAGCCTTTCTGATTGACAGTCTTTCTGAGTGAATCTGATGTAATATGATACTTTTGAAATATGCATTGATATGACATTTTAAATATGAGCATAAATGAGTATCACTTGAACATATGTAACTTACAAAATGAGCATTGATATGAAAATCATAATTTTATTAGTTGAACATTAATACATTTTCATTGAGCATCCAAACTCCTCTATTGAGTATTAGAAACATGCAATTTAGTATCATGGTTTGTGTTGTACTATCTATTATTAACTCCTACGTAAATCTAATATAGTATGATACTTTTGAAATATGAATTGATATAACATTTTAAAATGAGCATAACACCAGATGAGTATAACTTATATGAGCAAATATATGAAAATCATAAGCTTTGTTAGTTGAGCATCATGAAATTTTCATTGAACATCAAACCTCTTTTATTGAGTATCAGAAGCATTCAATTGTGTATCATGATCTCTGCTCCCATGTATATAATCTAACTCAGCTCTTATGCGAATCTAATATGATACTTTTGAAATATGCATTAATATGACATTTTAAAATGAGCATAAAACCAATATCATATGAACATATGTAACTTACTAAATGAGCATCGAAAAATTCAAAATCTGGTTTAAATTCTCTAATGTGTTTAAATGTTCATTTGTGGACATATATTATAATGACATATATACTGATGACACATATACTAATGACAAATATAAATTTTATATTAAAAATAATTTATAGTCTTATGTTCTGGAATTACAAATGTAATCGGGCTCTTTTTATAATCTTTACTCATGCATATTTATTTTATATTATACTCATTTCAATATGAAATAATTACATAAATATGACCAAAATAAAGATGGATTACAAAAATATGATTCAATACTAGAGTAGTAATGAAATCATAGTAATTCAAGTTCAAGTTTTGAACTTTAGTTACCACAGCACTACGTTGTAGTAATGAATAGTCATATTTATGTAAATAAGTTTTATTTTAGTAATATTCTCATAAAAAAACCCTTTCAATATAACACAAAAACTATGTTAGTAATTAACACATACGGAGTAATATTTAATAATCTAATAAATATTCATCTTAAATTAAAAATAGAAAAATAACATTAATATCTTAAATATTCATCATAAATTAAAATCAATAGAAAAAGTAGTTAAGAAAAAAATGAAAAAAAAATGAAAAAAAAAAGAACTACGTAGAAAGCAAAAAAAAAAGGTGAAGAAAAAGAACTATGGATGAGCGGCACTACGTAAAAAGGGCCTACTCACCATGCCTGTAGCGTAAATTATACCGTACAACCGGCATTTTTGTAATTAAATTCACCCTTTGCAACTCATCGACGAAGGTAGATGGATGGAATTTGAAGTAGATGACAAGGAACCGTGCTCTGCACGCAACTCATCGACGTTGTTTGAGTTCCAACAGGGTGGAAGAAGGAGGGGCTTTGATCCGTATGATTTCTTTTGTGACGGATGATCTGATTCACGGTGCCGTCTTCGCGGAGGAACTTATGAACTCACCTTGCTTGGCAAAAAAGGGAATCTGGTGATTGGTGAATCCGGCGGTCAAATTGAACAATGAATAGGGGAAGTACTTTGGAAAAAGAAATCGAAAAAGAAAGCCACTCATTTTTTGAGAAGAAAATATACTTTCCAGTTGAACCAATTTGAAATGAGTATATTGCCCGAAGGGAATGAAAATACACAAACAAATATTAAACACATTAGAAATGAGTTTCACATTAAATTCAAATGAGTATAATGTTTAAAAAGACTGAACATACAAACAAAAATATTGAGCACATTAGAAATGAGTTTTATGTTAAGTCAAATGTGTATAACGACTAAAATAAATGAGCATACACAAATGAGCTTTTGGATTTTGCGATACTCATTTGGTACGATATGTGTGCTCATTTGGTACCGTTTTTATGCTCATTTTGCACGCGTTTAATATTCAGCAGAGGAGGTTTAACGCTCAATGAAAAATGTCTTGATGCTCAACTTACAAAGCTTATTATTTTCATATTAATACTCTATCTTATTTTGTAAGCTACATATGCTCAATCAATACTGATGTAATGCTCATTTTCATATCAATGCTCATTTTTTAAAATATTCAATAGAATGCATATGATGCTCATTAAAAGTATACAAATGTTCATCTAACAAAAATCACGTTATCACTGAAATTACAAAAATGACACCATTTTTAGTTGTGAGATCAGCTTTCTTGTAATAACATGATGCTCATTATTAGACTCTCAATACTCATTAAAATTGGACTACTGCTCATTAACAATACACTAATGCTTAGGGGTGGGCATGGGTCGGGACGGTTCGGGATTAGGGTTATCCCGGCCCCGTCCCAATTAATAATAACGGGACGGGACGGTACGGGACAAGCCTTTGTCCTAGTCTTGTCCCATTTAAATCGGGACCGGGATGGTTCGGAACGGTTCGGGACGGTTCGAGACGTTCCAAACAAACAAAAAATAATCATTTGTAATTAATATATATATTAGTATTTCTAAAGTATCATGCACCAAAATATTAACATTTTAAAAGTTAATTGATGTTCATCACAAGCTAAAAGCTACTACGTATTAGATTTTAGTTAGGTTTAGCCAAATTTGAAATTTAAATTTAAAACAAAGCAAAAATGAATTAGTTTATTCAAAATCATGTGTTCTAGGCTTCTAGCTGTGAGATACTCATATGTAGATATAGAAAGTGGGATAAAAATCTATGTTAGTAAATATTCATGTTAGGTATTATTTTTAATTTAAAATTGGGCTTGAAGAACTAAAAACATGTTACCATTTATTTTTTGAGTTGACATTACACACTAGTCACATGCTACAAAATCTACATAGTTATTACAAATGGGACAACGGGACGGTTCGGGATAACCTTCCAATGTCCCGGTCTCGTCCTGTTTTAAACCGGTACGGGACCGGCGCGGGACAAAATCAATGAGACCCAAACGGAAAGGAACAACACCGGTACGGTTTCGGGATATACCGGAATGGGACAACGGGACCGGGATTCTTGCCCGCCCCTACTAATGCTCATTTAGCAGAGACCGTGATTTCATTTAAATTACTAAAATGCCACCGGCTGTACGGTGAGAACCGTACAGCCGACTGTACAGTATACACATCCTGCCTGTAGGGCCGCATCTCCATAAAAGTTGTTCACCATGCCTGCAAGGCCTGTAGTCCACATACACATGGAAGAAAGAATACAGACGGAAGCGGTATAAAGAATTACAAAAATACCTTGATATACAGTGAGCACCATACATCCGGGTGTACGGTATAATTTATCTCCGACTATTGCCTTTATCTAGTGATGTGTCGGCGTTGATTTTTATCCACCCGCCGCCGGTTTCTTCCACGTACCCGCACCCTGATATAGTGATATGGTACTTGGATAATCACCTTTCTTCCCTTATTTTGTGTAGCACGGCAGCCCAAGAGGAAATCTTCTGCCATGCATTTCACTCCCCTGGCAGATCCACAACGTAACTCCGATTTCATATAGTGTCATTCCTATTCTTCCATAAGCTCCATAACAACATGATAAACTTACTTCCTCTTTCTTTGGATAGCAAACTAAAAACCTTCTCAACCCATAGCAGCAAAAATGGCCACGTACCTGGGGAGCTCAACTCAAAATTTCCCCAGACTTCTTGAGCTAGAGGACAGTCCCTAAATAAATGTAAGGCAGATTCCAAGATTTCTTTGAAGTTTTAAGGCAGATTCACAAGTAATAATGTTTTGAACATTGTTTTACAAAAATGACTTTTCGTACCTTTAAAAAAAATAACTTTTCCTATACTAAAAACGAGATCTTCAAAATTATGATTATAGGACTTTAGTAGGGTTGGACCTAGGGATGGACCGGGCCCGCACCTGGTTCCGGTCCAGGACCGCCCGGTCCCGGTTTTACATATGGAGGACCGGAACGGCGGAACCGACCCGGGACTATTCGGACCCGGTTCCGGTCCGGTCTACCCGGCCGGTCCGGTCCTGGTTCCGGTCCTGTAATTTTTTTTGGGTATTATTGGAGAATGAATAAATGATGTATATTTATTTTAAACACTACATTGTCACTTGTATGAGTATCACATTTAAAAATTACAATTGAGAATACTTTAAAGTTGAAAATTACAATACTTGAAGTCTTGAACTAATTGTCGGAGCCACTTCCGACGTCGGTTGTCGTTTCCTCCATGAAATGGTGGTCCGGTGCTATGTTGAGTTCTTGTGTTCTACTACGGACCTTCAACCAATCATGGATTCATGGAAGCAAACGAGTGTCTCGAGAGATGAAGCGCTCAACCTCGTTCTATAGTCACTTAAAACGTTACCGGCTTGGCTTAACTCTTGTTCCACAGCAACAGTTGAAACCGGCATCGACAACACTTGTTTGGCCATTTTTGATAAAACCGGAAACATCCCTTCGTGGGTCTTCCACCATTGGAGAATATCAAAGTCTTCCGCTTCATTAAACTCAACAAGAAACATTAGATATAAAAAGAGCTCGTTAATCGAGCTTTGTGCAATGGAAGGAGTTGATTTACTTTTTTCAAAAGAGTAGATATTGTTGATTTAAAAAAAACTTTTCCTTTAGATGAGGAAGCACTCGGTAATGGGGGAGGGGGTGCGTTACAATATTGTACATGAAACTCATTAAATTAAGCGTGACATAGATTACTAACCTCGTTGAATTGGGCTTGAGGATCTATAGGTGTGTCTTCGTACATAGGGAATGGACCGTAGAAAGCAATATAATAATATTCTAAAAATGTTTTATAATTTGAAAGTTTGAAACGAGGATGAAGACGGAAAGCAATAGAATAAATATGTGTAATGTAGGCATAATAGCGGACCCCAACTTGGACCCGATCTGATCCCAGACCAGCTAGTCCCGATCGTTGGTAGGAGAAGCCCGGGTCTGGCCCATTTAAATTCGGGTCTGGGCTAGTTTCGGGTACCCGAGCGACCCACTCCCAATCCTGGCCCAGACCCGGCCCCGTTCTATTTTTTTCGTTTTCCCCCATTTTCAAGCCCTAACAAAAATTTGCAGATACGGAACCTAAACCGTCTAGTTCAGTCACCGAATGGGTGAACAAGGACCAAATAACATGCTTGGGCGGACTATGGGCAATCCCAAGTCTGATCTGGATTCTCCGGACCCATTCCGGTCCGAAACATTACCGGACCACCCCTAGACCTAAGTAATAAACCGATTTCTCTCTCTATATTTTTCTTAAATCAATACTTTAAATACTTTTGTACTCATGAACAAGGCACAAAATTAAACTCGTTTGGATATTTTTGCACAACTCTTTTTTACCTAAACTACTATTTAAATTACATACTCTGTATATGAAATTCGATGTTGAATATGAAGTTACCACTAAAAACACACTCTCTTCACTCCTTAAGAGTTTGAGCAGCATGTAAATAATAAAGTTAAAAGTGTGGTAGATATCTTTGCAGAAGAGAGAGAAATCACATGAGCACAAATTGAATGATTAAAAGGAAAAATGACAATTTTTTTGAGAAAATTGGCAAAGTTACGAGGGCAGAGACTACATATTAGGAAGGGCACACGCCTTACGTCTAATACTCCGTAATAATAATTAATAAATGCAAAGCGGATTGTGTAAAGTTTAAGGGGTGCGGCTGCTCTGCACACATCCCCTAAAATCATGTTTATGTACAGCAAGAAGCGCAAGTGTGTTAAGCTTGTCAAGCAAAGGATGATAGTGTCATTAACTTTAGTTACATTGGACAAAATGGACGATCATTAACACACAAAATCACAAATGTCATTAACAAATTAAGCAAAAATATGTTGTATTGGCATGTCACATGTCAGCAACAGACCAAAGATATGCCTCTTTTTCAGTTGCTTGTTTTTCATTAGTACGCTTGAACAATTGTATTATTACTACAGTTGAATACCGATTAAAAAAATAGAACGTTTCAAGAAACACAACACGGGAAGCCAAGTGAAAGTTTACCGTTACTGCGATCAAAACCATCCCAGTGCCGCCCTGTTTTAATACCATATCGATTGGGTGCCGCTTTTAACCCTCTTCGAATCCAGCTGTGCGGAGGAACTTCCTGAGGGATTACAAAACCAGATTCTTTCATTCTATCATCTGAACCAAAGTCGGGCAGAAGAAGAGCCTGATCCGCTTGCTTTTTCTTGACCAAATGCGCCATTGGATCACCCCATCTCAACCTTTCCTTGAGCATATTGTCCAGCTCAGGATCATCTCTGCTTCTAGCAAACAGTTTTTCCTTTTCGTTTTCTAATTCCTGAAGCCTAGCCTCCATCTCACGCTTTTGAGCCAAACCCTTGCCCCATTGCAGCTTTATTTCCTGATGTGAAGATACAATAAACCATTTAATGAATATTTTGAGCAATAGGTTCAACTGTATAAGCAATCATAGAAGACAATTCACAAGCGATTCAATCAATTTTTAGGTAAGCCATCAGGCATCTGCACAATGCACGGTTAAGATATATGATACCGCAATTATAAACAATTTTGTTTTAAAGCAATTTTACTTTTTGGCTAAAGGATCAAATAGGTACATGAACTAACTTAAATTGTTCAATTAGCCCCTTATATAGGAGGTTCTGCCCGGCCGACGCCAATTGAGCCAGTTCCCGGTGGAATTTTTTGATGCAATTTTTTGACATTCTTCTTTATTAAGACTACTTTACCAATACCAAATTTAAGCTAAAAATTCAACCGGGAAGGCAGTCAAATGATTTTTTGAATATAACTGCGCAGTTAAACAGCGCAACACATTTCGGAAAATCATTTGACTGCCTTCCCGGTTGAATTTTTAGCTGAAATTTGGTATGGGTAAACTAGACTTAATGAAGAAGAATGTCAAAAAATTGCATCAAACAATTCCACCGGGAACCGCCCCAATTGACGACGGCCGGGCAGAACCTCCTATATAAGGGGCTAATTGAACACTTTAAGTTAGTTCATGTACCTATTTGACTCTTTAGCCTTACTTTTTTAAAGGTAAAAAAGTTCAGATTGTTTTAAAGCAATTTTACTTTTTTTAAAGGTAAATATAGGTTGAAGCATCTCTCCAATAGCAACTAATTTAAAGGCTGAACAAATGATCTTTAAGCGATAACACACACACATAATCATAAATTTTAACTAGATTAGGTTACGAAAAGTTCAGATGGTAATCTGAACATTGTTGTAGGATAGTTTAACGTTTGGTATTAGAATATCAACAATGAAGATTGGAAATGCATCTTTTGTTATGTTCTGTGTTTTGTGACTACGCTGAATTAGTTAAGGAAATTGAGGAATTTGTCAGGTTTGACTACAAGGGCGACAGATTTAACTCTTTATGTCTTATCCTTTTCACCAATTAGTTGTCTGTGGTTTGTCTCATCCTCCATTGTGGATGGAAATACATAATAATTATAGCAACAACGAAAAGAATAATAATTACAAGTTGAAGGATAACTGGATAAGACATGTTTCAAGAAAAGTCATGTTTCACCAAGGTGCAAGTGTAAAACTGTAGTCATGTACAAGTGTACAACACGTTGAAATCATCAATCATACTCAATAGTCAATACTCAGCTATATAAATATATTTTTAAGAAGTTTAACTAAGCTTAACAGGTTTAACTTGTTTGGGAACTTTATATGAAACATAACATAAAGTTTAATAAAATTAGCTTGTTTTGTTGAAAATTGAAATAGGTAGACAAATGTGTTTTCGGGGTGGACTCGTTTTAGTGGTTAGTGCCAGACTGCCAGAGTATACTTTAAAGATAAAGATGGTGGCAAGAAATCTTGTAATAAAAATAAATAAATATTTACTTGTGCAGGATTAAGACTTAAAAGACAATTATAAGCTCACACTTTCACAAAAAATAAAAAGGTTATAGCTATATAATTAAGTGTGGATATTTTCCACCTGCTATAGAATGCAGTGTTGTGACTTGTAATATAGCAGCACATTAGTACAAAATGGCATATGGTAATACCTTAGGCTTCTCCTTCTCTTTCTTTTTATGAGACTTCAAAAACTCTTCCTTAGACACTCGTTCTCCTGCAATGTTAAAACTGATATTACACAACATAAACACCAAATTAAGTGATCACAATTTGGTTTCATCCTTTATTCTGCTGACCTGTCACTTTGTCACGATAAACCCCTGGAGGCCACTAACTGAAGGGTCCATTTCTTTAATCCTATAAAAATGGAAAACACATTAACTGGCAACTCAAAATCATTCACCAAAGGAACAGGTCCACATTACAATCCCCACACTTAGTTAATCTACTTGGCTCTTCAAATCCAAGTTCATGCATGAGGTAGAAAAATCAAATAAACTGGTAATTACAGAAGGGGTAAAAGGCTACCTCAACCACTCTTCTTTCTTTGTTTTAGCAATCTCATCTTTGACATCCTTTGCAGTGACAAGACCTGTTTTTGGCCTCTGTTTTACTACAGCAGGCGATTGGACCTGTTTCTTCCTTGGTGGAGACAAGTCCATATTAGATTTCTTATCATTTGCAGAGAACTGACTTTTTCTTGGTGGTGACATGTCACTATTAACTTTTGAAGATTTGCGTGGATCATACATAAGATCAAACATAACCTACACCGTGCATCTCCATGTCAGGGTAGTCCAAGGCATCCCAACCACCTTGATTGTCCTATAATGAGATATTGATGACTGTTAATTTATCAAAAATTATGAGGAGCTGATTTTTTAATTTTCAAAGTTTACATGTAAGTTACTTACATTATTCGTTTCTTTTGTTTAAGACATTAGTGCCTTTTTATTGATACTCTAGTAAGTACATATTTCATGATGTTTGAGATTTTGAGTAATATATGTGTGATTTATCATTTCTTGGATTTGATATGTGCATGACATGTAATTATATGCATACATATAATATGTATTTGCATATATATTGTCTACATAAGTAAAGTAAATAGCACTATAGCAGTATCCTGCCATCTGCCATACCACTATAGCGTTTTCAGTGTTGGCTGCTCCGCTCCGCTATCCGGGTAGAAAGAAAAAATACGGTCGGATTTTTTAGAACGCAAGAAGAGCTGTTCATGAAGAGTTCTATTTCTTTGAGTATGTAAATAAATTGAAACACTATAAAAATAAAGGTAGTCATTAATAAAATATCTTTCATTTAAAACGAGATAGCAAAGTCATCTACCACACTTGCAATTTCAATCTCTTAGAGTGTTTCAAATACTACATTTCGGTAAAATCATGAAATAATTATAATTTATAAAACCTAAAGTTAGTACTTAGTATTTACTTAATAATAACATACTCATATCAAATTCTTAATATATCATGAGTAATACTTTGTACTACTATTAATATTTTTTGGGCCTTCTAAAACTTAGGCCCTGTGCTAATGGACTGGGTGCATCTGCTTTGGGGCGGCCCTCTAAATGATGTGCTTCATATACTCAAGATTCAAACTATTGATAGTACGAAGTACGGAGTATTACGCAACCCAGGTCCGAAGCTTTGAACTGCGAAGAAAATAAAACGAACGAAGGCTGCGGAACACCGAAGGAAACACAGAACGAACGAAGAGAAAGCTGGAGCCTCAAATCGCCGACGAATCGACGACCGCCGCCATCCACCATCCACCGCCAAGCTCCAGCCTTCCACCACGCAGAGACACGCCGCCTCCATTCTCCAGGACTACGACCGCACCGTCTATCCGCAGTCCGCACGACGCCCTGCCCTTCCTGTCCGGCAGTCCACTGACCACGCTAGGCCGCTACCCGCACTTGCAGGTAAGCAACTAGGCACTATACTTTTCTGATTATTTTTATTCTTTGTTTGCAAACAGGGCCGATTCTTTGATTCTTCGGTTTGATTTAGTCTGTTGCCTAAATGCTACTTGCCTTGTTGTTATTTGTTTATTTATTGCAGTAATTCATTACTTATTAAGTAATTGAATTGAGAAATAGAACTCTTCATGAACAGCTCTTTTTTCATTCTGAAAAATCTGACCGTATTTTTTCTTTCTACCCTCAACTCTTCGTTGATAGCAACAGTTTCCACTCTGCACTGTTTTATAGAGATCAGATTGATCATATCCTCCAGATGTGGGTTATGACTGCATTTCTTGTGTTCGATGACATACTTCATTGACATTCTACTTACCTTGCTGATACATATTTATCTTCTTTCAGTCTTCATTTTCACTTCCTTGCTGATACGTATTTGCAACTATGCTTGCGGCAAGACTCTTTGGGAGGACATTCTTGGCTGCTGCCAAATGCGAGTCTACTGGGGCTGCTGGTACTTCAGCTAGAAGAGCAATACATAACCCTCTCGAGCAGTTCTTTGAAGCCGATAGAAGTGTGGAGGATGATAAACCTGTTGTGTATGGTAAGTTTTGGAAACATCTTCCTTTCTGATATTAACACCGGTTACATGACTCTATTTATCTGTAGTTGTTTTCTTTCTGTAATTACCTAGAAAGTACATTTTGTTTTTGGGTTAAAAGGATCAATTTGAAAGCAGTTGAAGTAGTTTCTAACTGATAATGCAATTCATACATATTATGTGGTCGGCGTCATTCTGGCATTTCGTGCATGTTAATAGATAAACTGTGATATTGTGGTTTGTGACCTGATAATTATATAAAAGAATGGAAAACAATATTTTCTTTAATCTGAATTCAACTTCCTTGTTAGCATCTGCTATGACCATCTCCTAATGACAAATGTGTTTTATTCTAGTAAACCGAAGTTTAGTGTGTGCAATGAAAATGACCGTTTTTGGTCTCAATGGAATCAGTGTTGTCAAATGGCAGCCATGGTGGTCCGTGGCTGATAGTGGTGGTGGAAATATAGCTGACCGCGATATGAAGTTTGTGAAGAATGGCAGTCAATGGTGGCACCACAATCCGCCACCTGCTATTAATAAAACTGGGTGGAATTTGTGGTGCTAAAACACTAAAAATGTTATACCCTGGTTGAATGTTTGAACTTTGAAATGAGCTAGCTTGGTATATGTAAATGTTAAGGAAAAAATGTTGATTTTTGGCTCACATGAAACACACAGTCCCGTCTGGTTTGGTTTCTGTATATAAAAGATGTTTATATAATATCAATCTTCATATATACATGAAAAAACCTACTATCTCAATTCACGACTGTCTCATCCATGCAAGTGAAAATAACATATGGTGATGAGGGTTTAAGAATATCATCCGTGTTCATTCGTGAGAAGGTTGAGACAGGAAGGACATCCGGCGGAGAACTTTGTCACCATTCCTTTTTGAATGAAGGATCAAGTCAATACTGACTGACTGTTTATTTTGATAAGGACGAAGCTCTGCAGACTTGATTTTCTTCTTTGGCTTTAAAGTGAATGCTGACTGATTTGGGATAAGGACAAAGCTACTGACTCTAACTATTTTGATAAGGACAAAGCTGATAGGGACATGGACTTCCAAGATTAATAATAATAGTAGAATTAGACTAAGG